TTCATTGCATCTATAAGGAAACCCACACACTTTAGCATGGGTTTCCCAAACACAGTGAAGAAAAAGTATTTCCACCAATACATTGTAAGTCATTATATCTATGGCTATTACCATCGTTGAATGGTTTTAGTGTTCCATGGAACTGCCATCTGTCTCTTTTCTGCAAGTTTGCCAATCCCATTTCTGACAAAAATCTAAAATAATCAGAGTGAGTTGGCCTTGAAGCTGGTTGTTCATTATGACCAACTTATAAAACACAAATAACATGAAATCAATTGAGTAAAAAAAAAAAAGAGCCAACATGTTGTAGTAGATTATTTGTTTTCCCCACTCGCTCCTCTTTGGATTACCCAGTGGCCATCGGTGTTCCTCACAGTGTTTGGTACCTGAGGGGCTTGTTGGAAACCAGGCCAACCCACATTTGTGTGCACCGACTCTCTGCTGCACCGGTATTTCAAAGCTGTATCTCTCTTTCTTTCTCTCTCTCTCTCTCTTTCTCTCTCTCCCTCTCTCATGGCTGTGTCCCCTCTGGTATATGGACAGCACATCAATGGGAACATTAAAGGTTACAAGCCTCAACAAAACGACACATTCACAACTCCAACCTGACACTTTACTGAATACCCTTTGATCTGTACACACACACATGCACACGCACACACACACACACGCACACACATACACACACACACACACACACACCACACACACACACACACACACACACACACACACACACACACACACACACACACACACACACAAGCCGTCCATCCTACACACTGAACACTGTTTTGACAGGAAATGGGAATTTACTCAGATTTATATTTGCGAAGAGGTTTTCTGTCATATATTGTGATTTGGTAAATGTTATAATTACAGTAAATATAACAGACACATGAAATATATCAGCAGCCTTTTATGGCCAATGGCAAAACAAATTCCACCCCGTAGTCTTGTGAACCTTAGTACTAAGTGAGTTGCCTAAGTTATCATGTACATTTTAGAAAAGCTTCCTTTAGTAATTTACTTTACAGTGGTTAGGGGATGAGAGCTGTACATAAATAATGACAAAAAAATCTATTGTCAATATCAGTTAAAACTTTTTCTTCCCATGATTCTGTATTAAGTACGACGGAGTATTAGCGCCACACTTAGAAAAAAAAACAGAGAGATTTCGAGAATAAAGTCGTAGTTTCATAAGTGACTTGAGAAGGAGACAACAGCAGCGTCCTGCAATAAAATGAGGAATGTGGAGCATCTTGTGAAGCAGTACTTTAGTTTAGGTTTCTCAAATAACGAAATACTTAATCTTTTGGCACATCAGCATCAGATTATCATAAGTATTAGAACTTTGAAAAGGTTGTAAAAGAAACTATGTCTATTATATCGAAGAAAGAACCAAACGGACTTGGAGGAGATTGTCTCCTTTCTGCAGGAGGAAATGGCTGGTTCTGGCCGACTACAAGGCTATCGTTGGTTACATCTACGAGCTGTTCAAAGGGGATTTGTTGTTTCACAAGAAACTATGAGACTTGTAATCAAGGCTTTGAATCCAGAAGGAGTCGAACGATAGCCTTGTAGTGGAATCGGAATGAGCTCCCCATTGACATCAGGACAGCAGAAAGCTTACACATCTTCCGGCGCAGACTGAAAACTCATCTCTTTCGACTCCACTTCGAGCAATAAAATGACTAACAAAGAATTGCTAACAAAGCACTTATATAGGCTACTAATAAAGGACTGGCTTATCTAAAGCCAGTTGAGTAGCACTTGAAATGTTTTTGCTCTATGAAACCTGATGTACTTATATGATTCTGTTTTATTCAAGTTTGTATCTAGTTGGTCGAATGCACTTATTGTAAGTCGCTTTGGATAAAAGCGTCAGCTAAATGCAATGCAATGTAATGTAATGTAGTCGGCCAGAACAAGCCATTTCCTCCTGCAGAAAGGAGACGATCTCCTCCAAGTCCGCTTCTCAAGTCACTTATGAAACTACGACTTTAATCTCGTAATTATTACTTTATTCTCGTAACATTACGACTTTATTCTCGTAACATTACGACTTTATTCTCGTAATGTTACGACTTTATTCTCGTAATTACGACTTTATTCTCGTAACATTACGACTTTATTCTCGTAACATTACGACTTTATTCTCGTAACATTACGACTTTATTCTCGTAATGTTACGACTTTATTCTCGTAATTACGACTTTATTCTCGTAATGTTACGACTTTATTCTCGTAACTATGACTTTATTCTCGTAATATTACGACTTTATTCTCGTAACTATGACTTTATTCTCGTATTATTACGACTTTATTCTCGAAATCTCTCTGGTTTTTTTCTTCTAAGTGTGGCCCTAATACTCCGTCGTAATTAAGCAAACTGCCACGGCTGACAAACTCTGTGATGTACTTCACCTCAGCTCAGTGCCAGCAGTGAGGTTGAAGTGTGAGGCATGCTGGCTCTGGCCACTCACACTTCAGCTTGATCTGTCAGCAGTGAACATTTAGCAAAAGGTCACAGGACTGTTTCCAGAGAAGAATGAACCGGATTGCATAGCAGGATTGCTTAATGCTCTGCCATTGTGTTTGATATATAATCAAAATACATTATGTTAGATGTGATTATGTTGTTTAGTTGGAGGACGGTCATATTTGCTGTAGTTCTTTGCTTTCGCGTCAAGGCCACGGTTAGACTATGTGCTTCCTTCTATTAATTATTTTTCTCATCGTTTAATTATCCGGCGTCAGCACTACCACTTGGTTAATCAGACGTGCTAACAGGTGCATGGAGCAAGTGCCCCTGTGGGTGAGTAATCATGTGTTCTTGTTGTTGGCTATGTATCCTGTTGTGTACTGTGCTGGTTCTATGAGTGAAACTAATGTAAGCAGATAATATCATTTGAGGACAAATAACATTGTAACCCTATAACCACATAGAGAGGAAGCAGCACCAATGCATTTATACATTAGATGACCATGTCGTTTTGACCAATTAGCCGCTTCCCTCTACTATCTCATAGTTTCTCTCACGGCTACCCTCTGCCGAATCAAATAAGCCTTTTTGCACAAATGAGCCGACCAGCTGAACCCATCCAGCCTGTGCTGCTGCATTCTTCTCTTTCTCCCTCCACATCAAGCAATCTGCTTCAAGGTTTTCCCATTCTTTTATATTTATTCATTCAAAATAGATGTATCACTCTGGGACTTATTTTGGAAATAGGTGGGAAAGAGGTGGTAGCTACTACTTTTGTGTTTCCCTCCTTTTTATGAATGTTATTTATTGAGCTCTTTATTTGGACAATTGAAAATGCAGAGACAATTATTTCAGCTGGTTGTAGTATACACACTTGTGTACGTGCGTAGAGGATTAGGAGAAGAGCCAGGATGCGCCTTCAGCCATCATTTTGCATTGTGTGCTGGTCAGTGTGCTGTATAACACGGCAGGCTAAAACAAATCCAAAAGTTCTCAAGTAAAAGCTACATTAACTAATCCAACTACTAACTTTGTACATTTAAATAATATTTAATTCCCAAAGTCATCCTTTATTCACCTTAAACTTGGCTTTTTTTATGATGACAGTGCAGAGGTGAATTCAAGAAATGACTTCCACATGCACACAGTCGTGCTGCTGCTTGTCTATGGTGATGACTCGGTTTTTGGTATCTGCCCCATGAATTTCAGTTTGATACTTCAAACTGACATCCCTGTTTTGCACTAACAGCAATACTTGCAGAATAAAAAACAGGTAATGAAACGCCCCAGCAGTGCAATATGTTTACTGTGATGTGTGCTCCGCCACTCTTCAGCTTTCATTTTCTCACTTACTAAGATAATAGTGGTTGGGTCCGGCTTTTTTCCTTTGCATGTATATGAACTGGCTTAACTGAAACCACCATGTAGCTTGATATATTTACACATACATTGATGGCAAGTCTCTTCTGCTTGTTTACTGGGTTAAATACTCTGTTGATACTGTAGCTCAGCACATTGAGGTTAACAGATGGAGGTCTTAAAGTGCAGCCAGTCATGCACATTTGGCACCCCTTCATGCACATTTGGCACCCCTTCATGCATGCACCTGCTTGCAATCTTGTTATGTGTGTATTCAGTATACAGTATTTCCCATCACATTTATTCAAACATATACACCTGCTCCAGTATGCCAGGAATAACTTGAGGGTTAAGTGCCTTGCTCAGGGGCTAGTTGGTAATGGAAAAAATTGCCATATGTGCAAGCCCACGTACCAATATCTGTGCATGGAGCGCATTTCCGTAGAAACCACTTAACAGATCAAATGAGCCATTACAAATGTAGGATTGCATATCCCTCGGAAATGATATCACAGCAAGCACTTTGGCAATCATATTTAAAATTAAACATCACAAAGCACCACGGTCTGTTTAGAAAAGACAATAAAAGATGCAGTCCTGAGAGTTGCTTTTGTTGTTATTTTTTAGCAACAAAGTTTTCTTGTTTTTTCTCTTTCCTTCCTCATAGTCCACACAGAATACGCTCTCTCTTTGATTAGCTGGGTGCCTTGGTACACTACAGTAATTAGGCTGTCAGTCAATGCCAGATGGCTGGTGGCTATAAGATGTGAAAGTCATCAGATGAATCTTCTGTATAGTTTTATTGTTAAAGGGCCACAAATGAGTATGGTCTAAGAATGCAACTTCTAAATACTCAAAACTGAAGATTATAACTGCACACACCTGACTACCTGCATACTGTGCTGTTCATGTATTTCATATTTCAGCATAATGGTAGAATAAAAGGTTTCATTATTTATTTGACCAGTCTGAGCTCCTGTGTTAAATCTGAACACATGAATCACATTGATATTTATTAAGATGTACATTCTTCATCCCCTTCTGTAGTAACTTTGTTCAGTCCTAATCAGTTATTTGTTTAAGTTAACCTTTTTCTAGCATTGCACCGGTTTTCTTTTCAACTAAACAGATGTCTTTTTATCTTTTTTTAAAATAGATTGTGTTCGAGGGAATTCGAGGCCCGAGTTTCGAGGGGGATATTGCCATTGACGACGTGTCTATCACCATCGGGAAGTGCAAGCAGGACACTGTATCCAGCGCAGGTAAGACAGGTAAGATAGAAATAAACACCCAGAGAAACAAAGAGAAGCATCTCTGATAACTGCCCCCAATACAATTTATTTTAAAAAAGTCAGCAAACTTAGCTAAAAAGGTGAAAAATAGCTCAATTAAACTGATTGGAACATGATTGATTGTAATGAAAATAAATAAATCTAAGGGCAGTATAGAAGGTAATTGTTATAGAAATATAATTTTCAAGGACCATGAGACACTAAACCGTTTCTTAAGTGGTTGAGAGGTGTGGGAATATGTTGCACAGAGAACATTTTGTCAGTGTGGGTGCTGTGTGATGACAAGTGGACACCAGCATGGAGGCGATTTGAAAGCCTTGTCATCAAATGCGGTCTCTCCTCTGCTCCATCCATTTATTTACTTTGAATCCCCCTCTATCCTAGTTTCACACAACACTAACCTGCTACCTTGTCCACACGCACTTTTAATATATCCCGTTACTTTCCCTCTTCCATTTTGCTAGCCATCTACCCTTTTATTACCCATACCTCTGCACTTTTCCGTTTAGAGATAAAGTGTGTAGTGGTATGGATTTAGAGGAAAAGAGCATGAGTGGAGAATGAGTGAGACAGGAATGTCTGTGCAGTGAAGGAAAGAGTGACACCCCTGGATCATATAATGGCTATAGACATCGTTCCACCAGGAGTATTTTTCTCCGTAAACTGACCACAATTGGCCCGACGTGCCTCCAGCTGACATGCTTGACAAGCCAAACCGAGCTGTCTGCCCATAAATAAAATACCAGAATACTATTTTGCTACTTATAAATACTGTTTGTGATGGTCGACTCTGCCTGTAGGGTGAGCAGAGAGAAAAACAAGTGAGTTACAGGGAATCAGTGCATGTCTATGCAATCGAGTCAAGGCATACGTAAATAGCCTTAAGGATAGGGGTGTAGAGAGGAGACGGAAATGGTGAAAAGGTCAAAGATGAAGAGTGACCAAAACTATGTGTACGTGTGAGTGCATGTATGTCTACATGGGTTATGTTGTGTGTGAGAGAGAGAGTGTGAGAAAGAGAGAGAAAGAGGTTTGAGAACTAAAAGACGAAAGAGAATATTAAACTAAAACCTGCCAGCAGTTTAGCTACAGTAAGAGCTGCCCGCTGCCAGGAAAGACTTGCATACAAAAACACAGGCACTTATGCACACTCACACAGACACACACAGGCGCATACACATCATTAAATACTCATAATAGCCTTCATTGCATTCTTTACAGACAAGCACAACAATAGCTTGTTGGCACTGTTCTCTTATCGCACACTGCAATTGTTGTTAGGTGAAATGGGGACAGTAGAAACTGTGAAACTGAGTAATAATCAATTATGTATTGTACACAACTTATATTTTAACCATCATTTTAGCCAATTCATTTCTCATCTTGGAATTAGTCACTGTGTACAGAACTCACAGTAACAGTAAAACATGTTTCATTTGTATCTAAATGTACTACTTTGAATTAAATCATGGCAATTGTATTCATGTAGCCCTACATGACATATCACACAAGTAGCTTCACTTTAGGGAGTCCACTGACACCCTCAATAAGGATAAGAAAAAACTCCCAAAATATCTGGAAATGTGGGAAAAAGGGAAACGCATCAGGTAGAGCAAAAGAGGGGGGACCAACTTCCAGGAAGGAGAGGCATGCAATATGTCATATGTATGTCTTAAGCGAGAATGTATGCATGCAACCTAAGGTGAGAATCCACATGGTTTTGTTAATTGTCTTATTTTTACTACAAAGAAAACATTAGAGCCAAGGAAAAAAAACAATACTGGAAAAATAAATGAGCAAATTATTAAAATCCTGCTTCGCTAACTCCCAGTTGTGAGATGTCTATGATGTCTGCATATGTGTGTGTGATCTTGCTGTTAAGACACTGGCGGATGAAGTGAATAATGGATGAAGGTGTAAACAGGAAGAGGAAAGCTCTTGAGCTCTCCAAGTGTGCGCCTGTGTCCTGCAGGTTTTGTTCAGGCACAGACACACAGTGCAGACAGATGGGTAATTATCAGGCAGGCGATTGGAGTAACACAAATGCATCTGTCTTGAGCCCACCATGGAAGTTGTGCGGTATAATGAGGATTAGAGAACGGATTCAATGAAATCATAGGAATATGACTTGGAAGAAAATGTAAACTCACTCTTGCCTTGCTTTAATTACGCACAATATGAAATATCAAACATTATAGGACATTTTAGCATGGACAATGTGAGTATGAACCAGGCTGTCATCAGAGGCTGCCTTCATAGGATTCACAGGTGTTTGTATAGAAGTATAGATACATGTACGTAGTAGACAGACAGACAGACAGATAGAAAGTGGCTTATTGAATGACAAATAGCTTAAATCACGACTGCACGGTGAGGCAGAGCTTTTGAATACACAATTACAACGCAGCGCATAACATCAATGAAAGCTTTGATCAGCAATCTGTCATATGGATAGGTGTGTGCGCGTGTGTGTGACATCAAACTATGAAACTTTTCTGCTGCTCCCTGCATATCACAGGATGTGGAGGGAGTGTAGGTGAGCCTGGTAGCATCACCCAGCTCATACATCACATAGTGTCACACTCAGATACTCCCACACACTGCATACACACTCAATATACCATATACGTTCATCCACCCGCAAGTGCTTTTTAGTAATATAATCTCACATCGCATGGACACACTTAAGCTGCAGGTTAACTATATGTATGCATAGGGGAATGTTATCGTACTATCCTCCTCAAATGAAGGATGATTGCCTCTGACATGTTTGGTGCTACTCGGCCTGTATAAATCACCTGGCTCAGTTGTGTGTTCAGAGTGTATGAGGTGGAAGGTGAGCACATGTTAATGTATGTTATGTACATGTGATCAGCTACATCTTTTATTAGGAAGTAGCTCAGCATGACGGACAGACATTGACCAGTTTTGGTAGACATTTAAGTTTTTCTACCTGTGATAGTTTGGATATTTCAAGCTCAACAGCAACAAGATGCAGGTTTAGAGGCTAAGATTAGTGTGAGTGGATACATTGCCTATTCACTGTCTCTACTATATGGCCACAACATACACACATGGCAATATAATATTCAATATAAATGCCCAGAGTAATCCATTTTCTTTTAAAACCCATTTCCATGACAGAACAAAATATGTATTATCTGTAGCGCTTTCATACAATGAGTGAAATAAAACGTCCTGCTTCTTCTTGTGTAGAGAGACGAGAGAGATAATGGAGGAAGGACTGCGTAAGGAAAGAAAAACAGAAAGACAGGGAGATGTAAAACATCATGTTCAACTTCGATCTGTTGCCCGCAAACTATACCATGTCAATGTGTATGTATGTGTGTGTGTGTGAGTGAGTGAGTGTGTGTGGGTGTGTTGCACGTGTGTTGCATACGGATCAAAACGTTATTATAAATATCGATTTTCTGCCTGGAGGACAGACCCTTGATATGAAATCACATTGATCTTTTTAATTCAATGCCTACTTTATATTTATGAAACTCTGTCTTTGAGCAGCATGCTTGTGTAATTTCTTTGTTGCTGCATTTTTATAATGCCGTGCAAACAAGGGGAGGACATAGTGTGTACTAAAAGACCAGAATAAGTGTGTTCTTCTGTGCTATTGTGTGTGGAACAGTAAGATTTGAACCAAGTAAAATACATCAGAAATCTTGGATGAATAATATGCGCAATTTGCAGTTATTCTTGTCAGTTAAAAGCTTCTGCCAATAAAAGCACACCTCATTAAAGATGAGTGTACTGCATCTTCTACGGGGCATAAACAAAAAAAACCTGCAGAACAACAATCACAAAGAAAACATCCATCTCATATTGGTGATGATGACATCAATTGAAACTTATTTTTCTCTTTATAATCTCAAAGTTTGAACTCAATGGTGCTTCTCTCTGTTTCTCTGACTTGTTTACTTACCCCCGCCCCCCCTTTCTTGGTTCTTGGTCTGTCCCTTTTTTTGATTCGTAACAGAGATCCATTTTTCTACAACCCTGCTTTCCACATTGGTAACAGGGTTTGGTAATGTTCAAACGATGCTTCTTGTTACAAAGCTGAAAACTCTGCCTCACCAGGGCCTTATCTTGCCTCAGCAGTGAGTCAGACAGCCTTAAAGACTGCCTCAGGCTAAAGCAATACATACATTAACGTATACTTATCTACTTAGCAGGTGGTTAATCTAATGTCAAGGTTAGCCTGTTATTTATAAAATGCAGTTTACAAGGCATAAAGAAAAAAATGACATGTGACAGTTGCCCCTTCTATCCGATTCGTGCTGTACACATTGCATTTAGGAAGAGAAGAACAATATTGTATTACTTATACAACTATTTATTTTTACTGTGAGGCTATAAGCCAGGGGTGCCCAACCTTTTTTGAACTGAGAGCTACTTTTAAAGTTGCCAGTCTGCCGAGATCTACCAGTCCAAATAGAGAGGCGTAGCCACAGCCTACTACCAGGTAAATACACACTTCTACTTGTATAAAACTGACCTTCGTACGATTAATTATAATCTACACACATACAAGTATTGTACACTAAACCAGAGTTGGAGTTTATTCACACGTCACATACTACAGTGGGTAATGTTTTCAAGAAACATTGAACAGTGCTGCCACATATTGTATGACACAGGAAAAAAAGAAAATACTCTGAACCCTTTCTTTGCCATTATATAAAAATAGTGTTGCTACAAAAGTATAAATTAGGCTTACTAATAAGACAACTCAGATCTAAAGTTACACAGGAATCTGCTGCCAAAGTGCAATAAAAAAGACAAAATTAATAAAATCAAACCCTTTTTTTGTTGCATTTTAGTAGATGCCTTTAAAATAGGATGCAAGCAACACTAGTTTCTTAACCTGAATTGATAATAGACTATAATCAATTTAAGTTTGCATTCTTATACCATTTTGTACAATAATTATAATGAATAAGTTCAAAACAAACTAAAACTTACAGCTGATTAATAACGGTATCTAACTTGAGTTTTTATCATATCAAAAACCTGTTGAAATGCTACTGTTATTTTTACTGTCCCCAAAAAGCGCGTCGGCAGCCTCCAGGAATGCTTCTTTCACAACTTCGCCGTCTTTGAAAGACTTCATGTGTTTCACAAGAACGTGACTGACACGATAAGATGGGTAGCAGCCTTGCTCTTGTTGTTGGGCCTGGTGAAAATGGACTGCTGTGCATTTAGCTGTCCTTTCAGGTCCCTCCCCTTTTGGGAGCGTAGGGCAGAATTAGCGTTCGTGCACTGTTTTGAAATGCCGCTCCTAAATTACCCTTCTTCGATAAAGCCACGCTCACATTGCAGATGAGACAGATGGACTTTGAATTGGAATAGATACAAAAATAATCATCCTCCCACTCGGAGTGAAAATGATATATTTTGGTCTTTTTTGCTTCTGCCATAATTGCGGTCTTGTGTGTGTGCGGACTGTCACTCCTGTTGACACGGACAACGTCAGCGAACTAGTGCACTGCCCACCAGCCACGCCCCGACACGTGGGGTCACGCCGGCCAATCACAAAGCTTTGATGCGTTCAAGTGCATTATTCTGGCACAGGAAGATTAGGTTATAGGACATTAACGATAAAACAGAATATTGTTGTTCTATTTTTAGACACATCTCGCGATCGACTGGTTGGGCACCCCTGATATAAGCAAAGACTAAAACGAAATAGATTTTTTATACTTAATGTCCTCATATTCAATTGAATGTGATTGCATTAAAATTCAGAATACATGTCTTACTTTGAGCTATTTAAGTGAATACGCTTTTGACACGCTATCTGTCATAAAGAAATAACTATAAGCAAGAGAGTGAAAAGCACTTATGATTGGTGGCGTGTAATTATTATTACAGCACTGGTGGAGAATGTGTCATCTGTACCTGTCTATGAACTTGGCTATAAAACCTTTTAAAGTCACGAACAGACAGCAGAACCTGGAAACAAGGGGCCTGTAAGTATTTTATTTATGATAACTGTTCTGTTCTATTTTGCCTGTGTCCATAGTTCTGATTGGTGGATCACGCTCACTCCCATTGGCCAGGTGGCTGACCTTCGGCCTCTCCTGCTTCCTGTTGCTACTCTACAGATGATGATCACTTCCTGCGACACCCCCTGTCTGTAGTGACAGACACTGCCCTGACTCACGCTCTTATACTTCTCTCTCTACCCTTCTCCCTGTCCTTTCCTCCACATACATGAGTCTTTGTCTAGTTTCTCCTCCTCTGCTTTCTTTGAACCTTTCCCCCCAGACACTCAGTATAACCAACTGTTGTGCATACTGTATTTAAGGTGAACATACTATATTATTATGATATTTGACGGTTACAATTCACCTTCTCTCCTTTGTCTCTCTATTAATCTGATTAGAATCACTTTATCCATGTCATCCGTGTCACTTTGTCACCTTTACCTCTCCTTCATCAACCCTTTTATCATCCATACATGCTCCCTTTCATGTATCTCCCCTCCCTCAAACCGCAATCCTCAACGGCCCCTCTCACCCTATTCCCCAGACACACCAAAGTGTCGGACACTCTACCAAAGATGACAAAGGACCTGAGGGAATAAAACGAAGGAACAGGATTCCAGGAAGAAAGTGTAAGAGAGAGAAAAAGAGGGTAAAGCCTTCTTATTCACAAGACTGTCTCCCATCGATCCCAAACTCTGGGACATTGGGAGCTAACGAATGATAAAGGGACGGGCTAAGAGAAAGAAACTGATGATTGAATGAATACATAAATGAATGCTGAGAAAAGGACAAGCCAGAAACAGAGGAAATAGAAGTGTGCTCCTGGTAGCCTCTCTGCTTGCCCTCCGCTTGCCACAAGAGATGAACCTCAGCGCGGATTATACGTGTACATTTATCTCTATATATATATTAAATATAACAAAGTTTAAACTTAAACACAACTAGGACAGTGGAGGACTTTACAAAGTGAAATTAAAGAAGCACAATGTTTATACAACCTCTGCTGTACCTTTGGGTTTTATTCTACTTATTATGTGATGTTGCAATTTGTCAGACCTATTCAATGTTTTTGATATTTTGCTTTTTTTTGTTCTTTGGTTCATGGCGTAACGAAGGGTCAAAGGGAATGGGTAATAACGTATTATATTAATATTTATGAGAAGATGATTCGTGATCGAGGACCAGAATTGAGCACGAGGAGGGAAAAGCAAGGATGACCCAAGCCAACTGGATTGGAAACCTCAACTTGTATTGGCACGTACTGAACACACACAAAGACACACACAGACACTTTGTCCTTTCTGACATCACAGCCAGGCCCTCAGCTCACCCTCTGCCTCAAAACATGTCTCCTCTATGGATGAAACAAAAAGAAAACCACAGTTGATAGATGCAACCTTCACGTTTCTGCACCCTAACCATGAACTTCGCATCACTGGACATCATTACTGGTCATGTCCGGATTGATGAGCCACAACTGAAAAGCTGGACATGTTATTTCTCATGAAATGGAAAACAAGGTGTCGTAGAAGAGGGCCACAAAGAGCTTAGAGTGAGTTCAGTTGAATATTTCTTTCTCCACAGGTAATTGAATGTTATGTATGAATTTCCCGTGCAGTGAAAAAAACTGTCAGATTGTTAGCAGCAAGGATTGCATATCAGATTTTCTGTTTTGTTTAATTAATGTCTGTAGTTCAAACTGTTTTTCATAATAACATAGATATGATGGTTAAAGTTAAGCAATACTCATATCGATAGATCTGTATACAAACCTTTATGATTGCATTTGAGATGACAGTTCAGAAGGGAAGGGGTTGTTTTCTAAATACAATTGTAGTCATCATTCATAAAGTTCAATAAAGAAGATGTAGCTATTGTAATCATATTGATAGTATTTTTTCAATGTACTCCATTACGCTTGAACCTATCTCAAGAAAGCTCCAAATTCACATGTTACGCTTTTGCAGTAAGTGATCTACTTGTTATGCTGATCTTCTTCATTACCATGTACATCACATGTGAATCAATCATGAACACCATATGTACTTTTGTCTATGTTATTTCAAATTGATTTGATCACTTTTTTGGTTGCTTTTTCTTAATTGTGGTTGTTACAAATTGTATTGTTGGCTTTACAATCATAAGTAGTGCAGAACATACATAAATGACGTGCCTAATAGATTGTTCCACTTTGGTGTGAGTAGCAATTTCTTTGTTAAGCTGGCACTGGTGGCTACTGTACAGTATGAGTATAACTGTATCAATGACTACTCAGTCACTCAATGCTGCGTAAGGCATGTTGGATTAACCTGTGAAGCTCAGTGTCAGTGGTGTATTATATGAACTTGGGAGCCCTCTGAAACCTGCAGACTCTCAATAATCCTGTACATTAGCTCCATCTCCATTTATTTTACATCTCATGGCAGGTTGCAAATGAATGTTACAACCACTTAAGTGAATTTGAGTGACATGCTTTCCTGTCAATGTAGCTTTGTCATGCTGCAATCATATACTGTAAAGTTATGCTGAAAATATTTTAAACCTTTTAAAATATTTGTTGTATTTAAATGAGCTTAAGTTTAACTTTTAGAAATGTCATGAAGCATTAATGTGCATGGCATTTTCATTGTGCTTACTGTCAAAGTGTTCTTCATATTTCCTCATATTTCAATGGCAGTGGTAACAGAGACTGATTACTTCTGTCATTTTTGCATTTGGACATGCGACAGCTGCAAATTAACTGACAGAATACTGTGGAAACCTCAGATGTATTGTCTGAAACATTGTTATATTTTCAAAATGAAAAGAAACACACTTTGAGGGGACAACTTTAAGCTCAAGTTCAAAGTGAAAGAAGACATTTATTCATTTCACCTACCTGAGATCACAATATCAAGGCATGACATACAGATGTGCAGATAATCTAACCAATATGTTATTATCATAATGTTGCCTGGTGAAGCAACACATTGTCACTTTACCAATGGTTTATGTCAAGTTGGGAAACTAACTGTTACCTGTGTTCATCTACTCCGATATAATGTTTTTTTTTGCACAAATGAATCATCAAAATGCTTCTATTCTGGCAAACTACAGTCCACTCTGAGGCATCATAAGCACTGCGTATTTCCCAGGTGATGACTACCCAAAGGGAAGTTTAAAGATAATCAAGCAATCATCCTTTTTTGGGTTTTGATATCAAGCATTTAAATGCTTTTGAAATTGCCATTACATAATATTTAGAGTGTAAGCACACCTGTAGCAACACTAACATGTGCCCATATGGTATCTAGGATACATACAATGTGAGGCTTTCATATATCTAAAATCATCGCATATAGTTCAATTGACATTATTATTTCAGTACAAGATAATCATGTGCTTCATTTGTTTCAAAAAAACATCCGTCAATAAAATAAAAATGAACAGCAAAGAAAAGCTTCTGTCAATAATAATATTATCTGTCCGGGGGTCAAATGCTTTGGTAGCAAACAAACATCTTAAACATGCGGATCGTCATACAGTACAGTGCTGAAACTAAGAGCAATGAGATGTGTAGCACAGCTGTTAGTTAGCATACAACAGACATGTAATACATCTGTATTGGAGAAGAGGTTCAAGGTATCAAAACATATCTGTGTTACCATATTGAATCCAAGTCAACTTCACAAAAATATTTTCCTGTGGCTTTTAACCAGCATACATAGTGTGATGGAACAACGCTGTATGATTGCTGGTTAGGTTGAAAGCACCTACAGATTGTACATGATTTTACTTCTAGTTTGTAATTGTTTTATAAAATCAGACCAAAGACAAGACAACTAGCTAAAAGTGTACCACATCAATTAGTGCTGGAAATTAACAAATTCATTTGTCTCTTTTCTGGTAGATAACACAATGCATCTACTTAAAATCTCAAGAGAAGTATTTTCCAAAATGTAACATCTAAAGGGTATTTATATTCCTTATTTTCTTATAAAGAATACACTTGTTTGAGTCATTTACATTAGAGCAACTTTTCCACTTCCTGTACATGCTCATCATCTGTTTACTGAGCCCCAGTAGAGTTACACTTGTACGACAAACTGACTGTTAATTATCCACTTACTGTTTACCATCTGTACTATCTTGAACTGATTGGAGTTGACGTCCAAGAGACTGTACGGACCTACTCAGCCTCTATTCCCTCCTTGACTGCAAAAGCTGCCAAAACAGAGAGGAACAGTTTGGCAATAGAACCACATTTCCTTCTGGCAACACAAATAGATAAAGGTTCAATAGTGATTTTTCTGGTTTGTGGGAAATAAGATAATGTGAAACAATCAGTGTCTGAGTGCTGGCAACAGTCCTGGCTTCCCTGTTATGTTACGTAATCTCATGAGTGTTTTGCGACCCTGTTTTACAGACTGCAATGACCTTTTTCACAAAACGCTGCGTGTGACCCTTGCCCTGTCTTCCCAAAAACAGGTGAAAAGCAAAACATTTCAAAATATTTGTTGGATTGATATTGTTTTGTAAACTTCTCCTTCTGATCAAATTATGGGACAAAAAAAGTAACTGACTTCTATTTTTTTGACACATGACAGTGTGGTATTTCAACAAGCAGCTTCAAAATGATGAGCCTTAATACCTTATATTACTTGTTTAGGCCTTATCTGACTATTGTAATTCACTGTGACAAGCATTGTCTTCGCATTAAGTACGTTTTGGGAATCAGTGCATGGGTCACAGTAGTTGTCCACATGCTGAGTGTCAGGTCGACAGCATAGCCTTCATCGGTCTGTGTTTCAATCCATTTTTGGAACAGAAGATTTGAAATGCACCTTTAATGTGTAAAAAAGGGAGAGGGGTATCAAACAGTGCTGGGTGTTGTATATTGCTGTCATGTACTAAAGTATTTTGGAGGAAAGTATATTTGAAATATGATTCTGAAAGGTATAAATAAACGTCAATGAAACACAAAAGGTTAAGGTATTATTGTTTGTTGCTGCAATTGCTCGTGTGTGAAAAGGGAATGATATGTTTGGGTATTACCCAAGTTTCTTCTCTGGCTAGATAAATGAAAAGATCAATAACACTCTTATGTCTGTACAATAAATAAAAAGCAACAGCCAGCTAGTTTAAATTAGCTGTAATCAACACTTGAAACAAATGAAACAGCTAGTTAGACTCTGTCCTTGGGTATTATAATCTGCCAAACAGCACATATAAACCCTAGTAGTACACACATTATTATTCAATTAAAAAACTGGGGAATAGATATTAAAAGTTACTGTTTTACGAAGGTTATGCTATTTCTTGCTTAATTGCTGTATCTTCCTGTAGTTTTGTTGCCAGAAATTGCCATGCAACGGTTGTCCCAAGTAATGAATAGTCTGGCATATTAACTTCTTAAAACTGAGGTTAAAGTTGTATTGGTTTATTGGTTAAGTCTATTGGAACTTCAGGAATAGTTCATGGTTTATGACGGAAATCCGGTTAAATCAGGCACATTTTGTATTTTCCAACCAAACATCCATTGGCTGTGCAATTTGTATGCCTTCATAGCATCAATTAGATTAAGCACTACAATATAATGAAATATTAAATGTATTTCCATATATGCCTTTATCGTGCCCCTCACTTTTTAACGTTTATTTTTAACCTAATTACGTTTTATTATGTGTTAATATTTTAACTAGGGCCGGGACTCGATTAAAAAAAATAATCTAATTAATTAGAGGCTTTGTAATTAATTAATCGAAATTAATCGCATTTTTAATCGCATATAAATATTTGACCTGAGAACAGTGAGAAGCAATTTTTTTCACATGGATTTTAGTATACCATTAGGCGCATTCACACCGCAGTACTTTTCCCACAAAGGTTCATGAGAACTTAGTTCATGAGAACAAATGAAGCCGCTGACGTCACTTATTCTTCTTCTGCTTTGGGTTTACTGGCAGGCCGCAAACCACTTCACGGCGTATACTGCCGCCCAAAGTCCCCGGCCGGAAGTCCCCGGAGTTGGGGACTGGCTTCAGTAGAAGCTGCTGGGAGTCCCAGCAGCTTCTACTGAAGCCTTCCGAGTAAATCGCCAGAACGCCGACACCTCCTCATCTCCACCGCTCCCATGTTTTATTTTGTGTTGCCATAAGTTAGTCTCTCTGCGTTTCTGCGCTGGGCTAATGCTAATGCTAATAATGCTAATGCGAGGATAATAAAATGGCGGCTTCACCAAACTTTTTGGGAGTTTTACGGGGCGTGGTTTGCAATCCGCCCAGCCAATCAGAAATATAGCTCTTTTCTCACAAGAGAGCCGTACGAAAGTCCCTGCTCTCTAGCAGCTCTCTAGCAGGGACTTTCGTGGGGGTAAAAAGGTTCTCATGAACTAATTTTAGTACCGGCTCTTTTTGGTGTGAACCATAGACTGTATGGTGTGAACGCGATAAAAGAGGCTAACGTCCACGCTAGCTTCCACGCTAGCTGCTATATGTTTTGCATTGAGGTGATACTTGAGGCTTGATGTGCTGCGGTGATATGCGAATTCCTTTTTGCATAATTTGCACACAACCGTGCTCTTATCAACGCTTCCATCCGTCCGTTTTTTAAAACAACATTTCCCACTGTTGTTCACTGTGGTTTGTTGTTGTCTGAAGTCATGAACGTTAGTTGGTGCTCCAGTATAATCGGTACGCCTGAAACTCATCCAGTGAGAAACGTTCCGCGGTGCAAAAATAAGTGCGATTAAAATGCGTTAATTTTTTTAACACGTTAATTTTTGTGTAATTAATTAATCTTAATTAACGCGTTAAAGTCCCGGCCCTAATTTTAACCAAACATTTTTGGAAGAATAACTATTTGTTTACAACACATTATGTGATTAATAAACCAAGCGCCCCAAAGCCCCCCTCGGCGGGGGCTTTTTTTTCACGACACTGTGTCTCAGGGCATCTTAATATTTAAGAACCTATTAATGTGTTACCAGATTAACGGGAAGAATCTCAGCTAACTGACGATACAAACCATTTTTACCAAAACAAAACACAAGTCTCATAAGAAGCATCTAAATGACCCCTGAACGAAAAATGCTAACGCACTTTGGCACAGAACTCAAGATAAAGATACCCTTATTATTTATACAAGATATCCGATTAAAACTGAGGTTCCACAGATTATTTAGCTTTATTGTATCATCACTGAGCGATCCGAACTCGCGACAGGGGAAGCAAACACAGACATCACAACACTTACCTTTACGGAGCTTTTACGGGAGATCATCTCACCGTAGTTGTCAATCTGATCAAAAATACTTGTTCAATGGCATTAAAACGAGAAAAAAAACGCGGCTGAATCGGATAATCCATAGGTTGATAATGTTTCTGTCGATTTGAAAAAATTATTTATAATCCATAATTCCATTTTTATGTAATAATCGGAGAGTAAAAGTTAGCTGCTAATGGTAGCCACCAGAGTTATCGCAGCTTCCGGTTTTGGCTATGCTCACTAGCTAGTCCCTCACACACACACACACATTACCAAATAAGGAGTATGTGGGAGTTCCCCTCGATTCCATTGGCTTTGACGGTTAGAAAGAGATGTCAATCAGCAAAATCGAGCAAGGGGGGCCAGAGATATGGAAAATCCACCCACATGACCCCAGAAGTGGGTTTTTTTTTTGCTAAATCTCTCTAAAAAGGTCAAATTTCACTTGTTTTGCATCAAAGTTGATACAGGGTACTTATTATATGTTGTAGTTTGGATTCCTAAAGCTTTTAGTCTACCATCCCATCATCGGTGGTTTTCACTATGTAATTTTTTTTTTTTGGACTGACACAATCATTTACATTTGTTTACTGTGTTCAATCTGAATTTACTTTAAAATAAAAACATCTATATTTATTCTGACACGTCTACATCCAACTCACAGATGTAACCTTGCTTTGAGAAAAAAGATTATTAATTTAACCCTTTTAGAAGGGAAGATATGGGCATTTGTTCTGGGAATGTCATTTTCAAGCCTGAGACCTGAAAAACAGGCTCGGGGCTTAACAGGTTAACACAGAATGCATTAGTGGTCCACACTGAGCACATAACATGAAACTTCACTGGTGTATAATAATTAGGGCCGGGACTTTAACGCGTTAATTAAGATTAATTAATTACACAAAAATTAACGCGTTGAAAAAATTAACGCATTTTAATCGCACTTATTTTTGCACCGCGGAACGTTTCTCACTGGATGAGTTTCAATCGTACCGATTATACTGGAGCACCAACTAACGTTCATGACTTCAGACAACAACAAACCACAGTGAACAACAGTGGGAAATGTTGTTTTAAAAAACGGACGGATGGAAGCGTTGATAAGAGCACGGTTGTGTGCAAATTATGCAAAAAGGAATTCGCATATCACCGCAGCACATCAAGCCTCAAGTATCACCTCAATGCAAAACATATAGCAGCTAGCGTGGACGTTAGCCTCTTTTATCGCGTTCACACCAAAAAGAGCCGGTACTAAAATTAGTTCATGAGAACCTTTTTACCCCCACGAAAGTCCCTGCTAGAGAGCAGAGAGCTGTTAGAGAGCAGGGACTTTCGTACGGCTCTCTTGTGAGAAAAGAGCTATATTTCTGATTGGCTGGGCGGATTGCAAACCACGCCCCGTAAAACTCGCAAAAAGTTTTGTGAAGCCGCCATTTTATTATCCTCGCATTAGCATTATTAGCATTAGCCCAGCGCAGAAACGCAGAGAGACTAACTTATGGCAACACAAAATAAAACATGGGAGCGGTGGAGATGAGGAGGTGTCGGCGTTCTGGCGATTTACTCGGAAGGCTTCAGTAGAAGCTGCTGGGACTCCCAGCAGCTTCTACTGAAGCCAGTCCCTAACTCCGGGGACTTCCGGCCGGGGACTTTGGGCGGCAGTATACGCCGTGAAGTGGTTTGCGGCCTGCCAGTAAACCCAAAGCAGAAGAAGAAGAAGTGACGTCAGTGGCTTCATTTGCCTAATCCACCCCCAGGTTCAAAGAGTTCTCATGAACTAAGTTCTCATGAACCTTTGTGGGAAAAGTACTGCGGTGTGAATGCGCCTAATGGTATACTAAAATCCATGTGAAAAAAATTGCTTCTCACTGTTCTTAGGTCAAATATTTATATGTGATTAAAAATGCGATTAATTTCGATTAATTAATTACAAAGCCTCTAATTAATTAGATTAATTTTTTTAATCGAGTCCCGGCCCTAATTAATACAACATCATTTGGATAAAGCATTTCTCAATTTTTTTGATGTTCATGTATTTTTACTTGAAATTACCCTTGTGCTCTTCATTGAGAGTAGACGTGATTGATTGCACTTGTCGTTGATGCAACAAACAATTGATGAGAATCCTCAGGAATTAATTAATTGCTAAACAAATGTCAGAGCTTGCTAGCTAATGACTTTACTGCCAAGGCTGCCAGCTCATGCATGTCTAATTTGTGAGATGTGTGTAAATGATCTCACAAGAATGTATTCTCCCATCTTTCAGCACCTCAGCGTAGGATGTCACTGCGAAGTCATAACATAACAACAAATACAGTAATCGGAACTAATTTACACTCCAAGGGCGTGTGATAATCGTATGCCTTGCTTTGACATTATCACCATCTCTAATTGTGTTTTGCAAATGCTTTCAGTTTTTGCCCTCAGCCTTTTGTCTTTGTTCTCCTGTCACTCTCCCCTACATTCCCATTTCTGAATGCAATGAGAATAACAAAAAATAGTTTCAGGCCAAAACTAGAGACCATCTTGCAATTGGATCACATCAATTGTGTATAGGTAAGTAAGGGGCAGTTACTACACCCATTGTTAAGCTCGACCTTCATTTTGATCCAAACTATATATCTGTAAAGTTTCATGACTGCATTTTGCACGGTTGTAACGTTATCCCGGCCACAGAAATCTGTCCACAGGGAACACACAAACACAA